GTCCGGTGGGTGCTAGTCTAATCACTCTATTTTATTCATTCTACTTCTGTCGTTTCATTTTTTTTTGTGTGTGTGTGTGTGTAAATGTGGTCGTCTTTTTCTTGCTTATTAGTTGCTGCTTTGTTTTTATTAATTGTAGTTAATTGAAATTATTAGATGAGAAGTAGTGTTGAAATGTGCAACACGATGTTTCGCTGTTATGCCGCCGCTATCCAATGGATATTGTGAAAGGAATATTCGGGCATTTATGATCCATCTCCAAAGAGATCAAAGCGAGCGATCATATGAATCAGTCTGCATTAAATCGAACACTTAGTTAATCATTGTTCAGTTGTTTGTTTGTTTGTTGTTTTTACTTTTCGAAGACATTTTATTCGGTGTCTTATATCACGACAAAGGATGCAAGTTTGATTCAATTGTTCATTATTGCTTTTATTATTATTATTATTATTGTTGTTATTATTGTCATCATTGTTATCATGTATTGTTATTATTATTATTATTCTTTATTATTTTTTGCTATAATTAACTTTTATGATGATATTAATGTTTGATGAGTCTTTTAGCGTTTGTTTTATTTGTAGAATTGTATTGTGGTTGTTATTTATTTGTTATTACAGATTCAGTTGAATTATATCTATAATTGATGATATATAATGATGAAAAACGTTAAAATCTCGTGTTTCTCTCGTCGTCCTCTCTTGCTGTCTCCCTCTCGAATGTTCTCGAATGCCCATTATACAATTGATAATGCGTTTATGTGCTGCTTTATTATTATTTATTTATTGAAATAAATTGAATAAGAATAATACAATAATAACATTCATTACCCTTCGGTATCGAAGTGGAATAAGAGTCATCTGTCCATTATAAGTGAATAAAGATCACATTTTACATCATCATCGCCATCATCAATTCAAGAGTATTTTTGGGTTATCATAATGAAGATAGTAATAAATATTCAAAAATATAAATAATTGAGTGTTGAGCGTGTAGATAATAAT